TTTTCGGTATAAATTTAATAGATTTGATCCACTAACATTTATAGTTATATTTCTATGATATATCCCTCTTTGTTTCTTAGAAAATTTTCGCTAATGTACACAGATGAATATAAAAACATGAATCTTTTTACGCTATTTTTATAGTCGAAAATAAACATGATAAAACTTTTTATACGTTTAATTGTCGTTTATTTTTACTATAATTATTATGAGAAATATTATTCGTATGATAATAAGTTTATTAGATAAAAGTAAATTTAAATTCGAAGTCACATGGTTCGATTTGTATTTTATTCTTGCAAAATTTAAATCTTGATTAATGAAAGATAGTTATTTGAAAAATTCTAAAATTTAAGTTTCATTTGAAATACACAAAATATGTCTATTTATATCTGCATACAAATGAATTAGTTCATATTCTGATTTTTCTTATCTTAAAAAATAAAATAAATATGAAAAGAGTTATTGGAAAAAGGGAATTTTTTCGAAGAAAGATTCAATTTAAATATCTTCAAAACTTCAAATTGTACTATATGGTATGAAATATACCATCAAATTAATTTCATTTGGATTTCCTATACCTAATCTAACGTATCCTGAATTTAACATATTTAAAAACTATTTACTCAAACATTCAAAAAGATGTTTTTTCATTGCATTCATGATGGATTTTACTGGTCGAAACTCAAACGTCATTTTAGATGAAAGTATTTCCCGTTGCAAAATAAATTTCATTAATTCTTATTCATTTCTTTGAAATTCAAGTTGAGAATCTATTGAAATTAAATCGTATAATTTTAATAAATTTTTTCAAAGATCAGTTGCACTCAAACCTTTCAGAGATATCATATGATTATAAACCAAGAGTTCTCACACTTGAAAATTATATTTCTTCAAATACTGATTTATAGTTTGATGAAAATATACATCTTATAGGTATTAAATTGGATATAACGAATATATTCGGTGATACATGACCGTCAGTAGATGTACAATTGATATATAATTTTCTAGTTGCTTTCGAACGCGTTCATCTTATAATTCAATCTCATAAAATAGCTGTCGATGTTGATTTAGATCGAGAAGTTATGGTATATTCAAAAGATTCTTACGAATATAATATATGAGAAAAAAATTGAAGTTATTATTCTTTTTAATAAATAGTTTGAATGATCTTAATAGCAAAGCAAGAAATGATATGATTCAATTTAATTCTACATGTCTATGATATTCATTTTTAAATATTCTAGAAATAGTATTATTTTCATAATTATAGTTATCTGAATATTTGAAGAAAATCATTTATTGTAGTTATTTTTTTTACAAACTTGAAATCTTCTGCAAAAAATGACATTTATTGTATTATAACTACCACTATACTCCCGTTCTTTAGTTGTAATATTAGCCAAAGTATAAAATGTAATATGATAGACATACTTTGCTGTAATTCCTACACATACTACGTGAAAAAATTTTAAGTCATCAAGTAAATGGACTATCAATGTTCTTTTATGCATCTGATAATGTAGTACATAAATATTCTTGTTATCTTTATCATAGAAAGATTTTAATCACTATAAATGTATTGAACTAGATATAAAACACGTGAGAAATAAGTTTTCCTTCGGATATCGTTATCAATATGAATGACTGTAAATTAAATTATGTATAAATATAGAATAATAATAGAACTCAAATAAAGTAATATAAAACAATCTGACCTTGATAATCTTTTATTTTCTATTATGATTAAATATTCATACATGGTCGTATCATTGATATATAATACTTTCAATGAACAATGACTATTATTAAAGTAGTTCTTCATAATTAATTACATCAATAATTTAAGAACCTTCTAGTATTTCATATATATTATATAAAAAAGGCCAATTTTCATCTATTTATCTAGTACACTATTGTCCTTCACCATGTTTATAACATAGTAAAATTAGAAGAAAAAAAAGGAACGGTAAGTTCAAAATATATTTAGTTTATTGGTTCTCCTATTTTTCGTCTGTTCAATAATCAAATGAAAAAATGTCATTACATTAATTTTTCTTTTCTTTTTTTGCATTAGTAATTATTTATTAGAATTTCTAGCAACTATGGGTTAGTCACCAAATTGACAGGTAACAATGTATTTCACTCATGACAAACAACACATAAATTTAAATTTTTTTTACCATATAATTGTGAATGTCGGTATGCTTTTTTGAATGTATGCATGAATTACTTTTTTCTTTTGATGGTTAAGGTGACTTAAATGTATTCTCAGGAGTTTCATTGTCGATGCAGACATAAAATAGAAAAGAAATTCAAACGAATGTCACTCAAAAGTTGTATGAATTTAAATATAGGTGAGAAAAAAAGAACAATAAAATCACCTGAGTTTTTTCATTTTTTTTAAAACTAGACATGACTTTTTTTTCTTGTTAGTATGTCTTGTTCAAGCAAGACACGAGATATATTTTCTTTATGTTCTTAAAAAAATGGTGCTCTCTATCACTCGACTTTTAAGAACAAATATTTTGCTACCTATTTCATATCGTTTACTGATTATTAAAAACGTGATGTTTTATTGAAATTTCTTACTAAATCTAAATTGAAATAATTCTCAAGTAAGTGATTAAAAAAAGTTTTTTTTTAATGTAAATGTTGAATATAGATGAGTTTTCTTTTAGTTAGAATTTAATGATGATACTTTTTCTTATTATTACTCATTTGTATAGATAAATTTTTCAGTCAATAAGTGAAATATTTAACCTATTAGCAGGAAATAATAAACCCCAATACATGTCTTGAATATTTTTTAACAATTTTCATAGGTGAAGTTTTACTGAAAAAGCTCTGCTCTAGACGAGCCTTGATTATATCATTCTTATAGTATAAACCAGCTTATTCTTAATGCTTATATAAGTAGAATAAATTTGTAGACTCCATCAAATGTTAGTCTATTTTTGGATTCAATAATTTGACGTCTAAAATCACATGACGAAAGTGATTGTATAAGGTTGAGATGACATCTATTTCATGTGAACAAAAAAAAAGTAGTATTTTGAATAGTGATGACCATATTCCTCTTATCTATATATTTTTTTAAATGGGTATAAAATGAAACTATCTCAGGTGACTTTCAAAAAAAAATAGTTTTTGATAATCGTTATCTATTTAAACTTAAATTTATTGTTTCAATTATTCAATATTTTAGTTTCATCGTCGCACAAAACAAATCGAGATTTACTATAAGACATTTTTAGAATAAAATAACAAACTGTTACAATATTGGTTAAATTTAAATATTCCATTCAATTCATTTCATTCTTATCTTATGATAATCAAGTCAACAACAAGAAAAAAAACATTCGCCCCACCCCAAATATAAAGTAAAAAACAAAAAATAAAAGTTAATATATCATTCATATGCTATATCAACAAGTAAAGATATTCATTTTTTATCTTATTTTTAATCTATAGAAACAATACAAACATATCAATAACCAATAATAAAAGGAATCGAAATTTCATTATGTATTTGATAATTTAGATAGAATCAAAATTGGAAAATAAGAAGACGAAAAGAAAAAAACCTTATCTTATTGACCCCTGTTTTATTTATTTTTATGGGCACATTTTTTTATTTAGTCATATTATTCTTGCATCCAAGGCTAGATAAGAAATACATTTGGACCGATAAGGTATGTAGTGTGCTGAAGTAAATTTAGTAACATGTGATAATATAGAGAGAACGAGAAATACAGCGTCGAATCATACACATTTACATTCCCCATTTCGTATCTCTTTCTAGTCTTCACTTGTATTCTAGTTTCTTTTCTTTTTCTTTTATTACATTTACTTGTTGATGACAACATAATATTTATTTTATTATAATTTTTCTAGATAAATGTCAGCACGAAAATATATTCATAATGAAGAAAATTTAACAAATAAATGTTTATCATCATATTTAGAAATTGTGATTGATGAACAGTCAGATAGTAATTCAATGGATGATGATTTTAATAGCGAAACTAGGTAGACAGACATTACTAAATAATAATAATAATAACCAATGCACTCTTATCTATTTTTAGCAACTACCTGAATACTAGTATTACAAATGATGGTCATGTGACTAATCAACGACAAAAAAAAGTAATAGTTTGAGGACAAATAACAATTATACATGTATATTTATTTAGACTCCAAGACCACATCGATTAATTGAAAAACGACGTCGCGATCGAATGAATCGTAGTCTTGATGTTTTATTAGAATTAATTCCTCATAAAAAACCTGAAGTATAATATTCATTTTATTTTATTGTATATATAATTTTCCTTCTTAGAATCAAAAACGTGTTGAAAAAACTGAAATTATTGAAATGGCAATAAAATATATTCGTAATTTAGTATCATCAACTCGAAAATCTTGTAAATAAAAAATATTTCCCTTTCAATAATTATTATTTTCTTTCTAGCTGAACAATCAAATATAGAAAAACAATCAACATTGAATGCTTATCGTTCAGGATATCATAATAGTTGTTGTGATATATATGAATATCTTGAAAAATATTCAAATAATGATCGATTTCTTGGTGATTTTATTCGATTTATTAATAGAAAAGAAATTCAATTGAAAGATTTGACTAGTTAGTACAAAAACAAATGTTGAATGAAAAAATAAATCTCTTTTTTTTTTAGTTCTACCTGATAGAATAGCGCATATAAAACCCAAGAAACAATCTCCACACAGAAGCTGTGATATCTTAAATTCTAATGGTAATATATGTTCGACATCTGATCGAGATACAATCGAAAATCATTTATCAATTAATGAACAACGTAAATCAATTGAAGCACCTAAAGTACCAATATTTGTTTTACATCCATCAGGTACACATTATATTCCAATGTGTATTGATTCATCGATTGTTTCACGTGCATTTAATAATCAATCGAATATATCTCGATCATCATCGATAACTGAACAACCTCAATGTCATCCCGTATCAATACCTGTAAATTTTAATCCAGTGCCTGCTATATCAGATCCATATGAACTTGAGATACAAAATATAAATGTTATCGGTACGAGACATCAAACAAGTGTAAGACCTAATTGACAATGTAAATGTTTTTTTTTTATTTTGTATTTTAACATGCAGTTTTCGTTCATTTTTTTTTTGTTTTGTTTCTTTTATATTCGATAATGACAAATAGGAAGAATAAAAATCAAACCTTAGTTCGAAAAAAATTATTTCATAAAAGATCACGATGATCCGAAAATAAAATAAAATATTCAGACTTTCATTAATTTTTATATTGTTTCTTTTGTCTACCAAATATCATTGATTAAAAATAAATATATTCTCTTTACTACGATAGGTCAAGTTATATTTCAATCTTAATGAACTATAAGAAGTATGTCATTTATTTTTAATTATATAATTACGATAAGCAGACATTTATAATTTAAAAAAAGAAGAGATTCTCTTGTATTATAGAGTACTTCTATGTACCTTTGAATTTAATTGTTACTATTCTTAGCAAAAGATTGCAGACATGATTATTTTATTTTCATAATTATATAACAGGTAAAAAGATTCGATTAGAATCATCACGTGTCTTGCACAATAAAAGGACAGTATATTAATTAATATCGACTTATTAAAAATTTATTGAAATAAAGTGATACAATATCTCATAATCGTAGTACAAATAAGAATGACAATAATATATACACAGAATATATTCTAAAGTAAAATTTACTTTGAATATAATAACTACAAGTTTTGATATTACATACAACTCTTATTTACATAACGAAAAAAAAAATCTATATACTCTTAATATTTTAATTTGAAGTAACAATGAATACTATTATATTTCATATGGCTTAAAAACAAATACATGTAGAGAGACTTCAATACTTTTCTAGGGAAAAATTAAATGCTAACTTTCCCATTATTCACTCTTGAGCAGTATTCATTACAATAGAGACTTTCATATAAAAGAATATCTAGTAAGTAATTTGCTACAAACAAAACGTTTATTTAAGCATCCATTCGATTTCAAATCATCTCATCATAGGATAATATTGATTACATTTGTCGATATAAAGATAGTCTATCAATAGATAATATTTATATCGATTAAAATTTAAGTAAATAAAATATTCCCCTTCTTTCTTTTTTTTAACTATCAATCAATTTGCAATTTCAAGTATGATTATTTTGTATATGAATAGCTTTTAATAGTTCATTATATGTGCGAAACAATGTATATTTTGTAAAACATATTTGTTGTTTCTAATACATTTAACACGACTTAAAAACACTAATGAATGTCTAGATGTTATTATTTCAAATACATTAATAAATCAACAATGTGAATTATATTAGCGTAAAAGATGTTTGTTATAAAAGTTTAATTCGATTTTAATAGAAGACAAGTAACAGATGGAGAATATACTACATTTTTTTGTTTCTTAACAGACAGACAAATAAAAAGAATTCAATAGTGCAACAGAGTGTAAGATGTGAAAATGATTACATGAGAAATATATGTCTATAATTGAGATGTTATATACTAATTTATAATTTAATTTTTTTCTCTCTCTTCAATACAAATAAGTATTTTCTTATCTTTCGAAAAAGAACAAGATAGGAAAATGTAAATAGATGAATTTGAAAAATATGTTTACATATAATCTCATACACATGCTGAGAACAATTAGATAAATCTTTCGTTCGTGATATGTTCTTTCTCATCATTTTTTATTCTATATATATATATAATAAGGCAACATCTTGTACCGTACGATGTGTATATATGACATGTTAAATCTGTTCTTCTTTTGTACCTATGCATCATATAGATGTGTGAGTGAATACGTAATACTATACTAGTCAGTAGAATTGAACAGAAGTTTTATATTATTCAAGTGTCCAGAAGATTTTTAAGCATAAAACAATTGACATTAGCAGAAAGATAAGAAGAAAAAAAGATATTGTCTAACAGGACATCTGGTGAATAGTAATGAACATGGACATTTGATAGAATAAAATGTTGATATAATTTACTGAATCTTTTAGATATAATTCGAACAAAAAAATTCTCTCATGTCATATTTATCGAACAGGTAAGTAGAAAAAAAAAATCTGATCCTCGAAGTTTTTCAAGACAGTCAATAATAAATTTTCTCTTATTACACAAATATGTACAATACATATTTTTTTTCTTCTCGTTAATCTTTTTAGTTCCAATCAAAAACGTCATTCCATGTTCAATGAGAAATTAAATTGTCTTAATGATGTAAGTATCCATATCCAATTGTCATTTTCTAGCGAAGAAAAAAAAACATGGAGAGAAGCCAATTTGATATTGTCTATCTATCTTTTTTTTCTCTTCCCATTGAATATATTTGTCTTTTTTCTTATTCTATAACCTTGTATCCTCAAATATTTGTATCGTTTTTATTACATAAATTATTATTGTAGTATCGTCGTTCTCCTTCTACTAATGTCACTACATTTTATTTTCGGCCTATCATTCTCACTCATAATATGAAACGAAGACATCAACATATGACAAAGTAAGTGTTGATCTTTATTCGGTTAGATGATGATGATACATATGTATATGTATACATATATATTGTATATATTCTCATCTTATCTGTTCGAGTAGTCGAGACGGTTATAAGACAGTAAGAAAAGATTGAATAAGCAAGGTCAGCTGTTTATTCTTTCTTGCCAGACTTTATTCTTTGAACTTTACCGACATAACTTCCTGATGATCCAAACATTCTTCTTATAATTATTATCATTAACACTTCTCAGCAAGTATGTCTAGTCTCAAACTTTACCATTAAAAAACAAAAAAACGGGCGGAGTAGATTAATTTATTACATTAATTCCCAGTTAGATATTTCATAGAATGTAAAAGGTCATTGACCTAAGATAGATTATTATTATTATCTATACATTCTTTTTTTTTTGTTCATAAATTGAATATGGAAAATATATTCACTTCTTTATAATGAACAGAAGCTAAGAGCAATTCCGTCATATATTTGTTCTACTGACCACTCTTATCCTTCTTCGTTCATTTTCATTCTCTATTCAATAAGTAAGTAGACAAGAGAAGTGTGTGTGTGTGTGTGCTGCTTATTAGTTAGGCGTTTGGTCCTTTGTGTGACACCTCTCTTGTATGCACACTTTTTTTTCCCATTCTCTTTCTCTATTCGTTAAATCAAAAGATGCTTTGAACCCGGATGTGCTGTGCTCAACTAACTACTTTGCTTGATTACATCATTTTCATTGACTGACTACTACGTACTAGATTCTATTGTTGACTTTAAGGTAGATTGAAAAAGAAAAGTATTCTTCTTTTTTCTTCGAGAGAGAGAGACATATGCTTCCTTTTTTTATTCATTCATTTGACTTTCTTCTTCTTCTTCGTCTTCTTCTTTGTTAAATATCTAACTAAATCAAGGTTGAAAAATTTTCTCTCTGATAAATATAACCTTGATATTGTGAGTAATCACGTGTATTCGTTAGTTTATAAGATAAAATTAATTAAACTTTCTTTTTTTTTGTTTATAGAAGGACAGATGGTCACGCTATATCATTGTTAGAACATAAGAGATTCATTTTGTTAATTATGGTCATAGAAGAATCTCAAGAAAAAAGTAGAAGAGAGAAGGCGGAGTATAGAAGTATATATATATATATATATATATACATGTATTTAATTGAGCGTGAATCGAAGTAAACATAACCTCGTCAAGTGACAATTGAAGATAACACCATATGTTTAGGTTTTAATTGATATTAAGAAGTAGGAGGAGAGAAACATGAGCTGTCGTTTTCCTTGTCATTATCAATTAAAAGCATCGATTGAGATTAGGTTTTTTCCTCAACTAAATTGTATTTTTTTTCTTCTTCTTCTTCTTCTTATCTTAGTTGTTGCCGCATAGAAGTTAACCTTATTAGAAAAGAAGACATCGACATAAATTTAGAATTAAATTAATCGAGAAAAAAAACAAATTGTCTTCATTAGTATGCATTCGAGGTGGACACATACCGGAACCGGATTATAGGACAAGTGTGCCATTTGTACATCAAAAAAAAAGAATCTATAAATGAAATATTTACATAGAATAGCACATTGATGAAGTCATCACTTTCTATATATATATATATATATGTATATATCAGAGAATGAAATTGAAGAATATGTCAGTAGAGATCATGTATAACCTTGGACATGAGTGTTCAATACATCCAGATGTGATATGTATTTGCTTTTATAATACTTCAATGTGTTTGATATAACTGCATACTTGCGTCATTCACTATCACATCGAAAGCAAGAAAAAAAGATGACACATTTCTTTCTCGTTAATCAAGAAGAAATTAGAGCTATGCCTTCTCTCTTTCTTTTTCCAGTATGCCTTCATCGTTGCAACGAATGATGATCAGCGATGACCATAAGTATACTGCCGGACTTATGCAACAACAACAGAAGCAACAACCGCCGCCTTCTTCTTCATCATCATCATCCGTCAATCATCTTCAGTCATCTAGTTTGACTATTTATGATAATAACCATCATCTACAATTGACACAAAAAAAATCCATTTCATCATCACGAGTAAGAGAGAAAAAAACTACATTGATCTACTATTATAATACACATATATATACGAAGTCCTTCAGGCTAATGCACATATATGTGTGACAAATAGCCCGTGACTCTTGTTACGTAGTTATATAGATAAATATCAATTGAATATGATCCTTGAATGAATAGTATACAGAGCAATTATGAAATCATAAAAAAAACGAGTATAGAAAGAAGAAAAAAAACTATGTATGTATGAATGTATGTATGTAGATTCTTTTCTCTTGTCCATAATCAGATACAGACGTCGATTACAGCAACAATTCCTTCTTTTTTCTTTTTTCGATGACCGATGTAACCAAATATGATAATTGGTCTCTGTTCATTCAATTTTGTCTCTATCGACTGGACACATGAGGAAACGGATGCATCAGTAAGAAGACTATGTCCGAATCGAATTGACAATGACTTTTGAGACGAATAATGTCACAAGAGAATTTTCTGTCTGATGATGTTAATGATAATTTTATATATATATACGTGTCACATTGTTTAGATTAGACTCGGTCTACGATGTTTGTGTTCATTAGATGACAAGCAACAGCAACCATTTGACCAGATCTTTTCCTGTAATGAACAGATAACAAACATTAGTGAATGTATATTTGAACAATATATATCACGTTTAACAACGAATTATATTAATACATTAATTATACTTTCTGGTCAATATCTTGAAAGTAAGAAAAACTATTTTTTCTATGATTATACATTTTCTTCGTTTATTTTCTAGTTATTCAACTACAAAATACTCTTATTTCATTAACGCTCACTCATCTACATTCTTTTGTAAAGGATAAAACTAAAATTTTCATACTTCGTATTAGTATCCAAGAATTTTCATGTGAAAAACCTGAAGATATTCTTACAACAAAAGGTAAATACTCCTCTTTATAAAAAGACAAAAAGAATTATCATATTTATTTATATTTAACTAGGCAAATTCTTATTATTACCCAGTGACTATACAACGTCTTGTCCTATTCAAACAACAAAGTATATTAATAAAATTTACTTAGATCATCAATCTTATCCTATATTAATAACATTTCATCTAATAAATCGTTTATCAAATAAGACTTGTGTACAACTTCATATACTTTCAACAAATGATAATAACAACGATGATGATGAAAAAAAATCTCCTAATAATCAAGAAGAATTTTCTAATCTTCTCATGTCATTGTCATTATCTATACCGTCAAATAGACAGAAACAATCGTACCATTTATCTAAGTAAGTTTTACTTATATGCCATATTAAACTAATTACACTATTAAACATATGTCTTTCTTCTTCTTCTTCTTCGTTATAATGTTTCTAACATATGTATATCTCTACAATTGTATTTTTGTATAATAGCAAACGCAATAGTCACGAACAATCATTATTCTCTTTAACGTCAATCTTGAATGAATACGTGATTAATATTGGCGAACATTTTTTGTATATATTAACGACTATAACAAACGATAAACATTTAAAATATTGGTCGAAAATTCAACGACTATTGAAAACGAAACGAAGTCGACTAAGGGTAAGAGATTATGTTATATATTTACAGATAAATTTTTAATATAACATTTTAGAAAAAATATGATTATCTGAATGTTACTTTTGTATAAAAAAAATTCTTATTTAATATTTTTCAGATGTCTCGTGATTCTGCTTCCATCGAAACAGTAATTAATCGTCCCAATGAAGAAATCTGGGTTGATGGTCCATTAAGTTCTTCAATTAATAAAACCGAAATATGGATTGATGGTCCACGTAAATTTTGTCCACGTTCACCAAAATTTTCTCCAAAAAAATCTACGCTAAAACATCGTTCAACACCAATGCATACAAAAGCAAAACTTTCTACAATAATTCCGCCCTATTCTCAACATGATATCGATGAAACGACATCATCAAATACATTTGATACTGAATCAATCGTTAGTTCACATTGTCATCTACCCGTTTTACCTGTATTTAAAGATCATTCATTACTTGCATTTCGTTCGAATCATACATTAACAAAACCGAAACCGATTATAACTGATCCAGTAAAATTAAATTTAAAATTAAGTACAAATAAATTAAATGATGATTTAGAAATGTTAGAAAAAACACTTGAAACTTTATTAGTACCAACACTGATTGTACCAAATGCAAAAACTGATAATGAAACAATTATGAGTAAATCATTAAATCGTATCGATCAATTATCATCATTAATGTCGAATGATGAAAAAAGTAAACGTTTATCAAGAATTGTTTCACCAACACGTTTTGAAAAAATTCTATTAACTAATAATCATCCGTCTACTCCTAATTCACCTTTAATAATTCCAAGAAATCGACGTTTAAGAACATCAAATAAACCTCAAGTACCTTTACGTACAACAAGTTTAGCTGAAACAACATCTCGTCCATCGATTTTTCAACGTTTATTTGGTTTACGTTCATCGAATCCTCAACAATCCATTGTTATTCAATCACCACCATCATCACCTTTAATATCACCATTAACAGTAACACTAGATTCTCATGATGATCTAATGCCATTAACAACAAGTAGTACAGCTTCATCAGCATCTGGACGTGCTAGTTCAAGTGGTTATGAATCAATGAGTAATACAATACTAGAAGAAATGCTTGCATCAATGCCAACAAATATTACAAATACAAATAATTCAATCAAAATACGAAGTAAATCAACACGAAAAGGTAGAAAATGATTTTGTAATACAACATTTATCTGTTTAAAACATAAAATTAGTATTACGTAATAAAATTATCAGCTACTGATTACCCTAAGCAATATTTAATCTGTATAAAGGATCATGATCATATAAAAAAATTATCAGATATATACTTCAGTACATTTTTACTTCAAAATAATTAGATTAAAGACTCTTAAATTATTTGAATTAGACTTTATTTATTATTTTTACCTAGAAGATCGACGACCAAATAGTAACAATTCACGGAGTAATTCAGTAGTAAGTATATAATACAATAAGATATTTGAGGAATTCTTATTTTTCATTAATTAGATTCGTGATAAATCTATTCAACAACAACGATTATTTCAATTAAAACATCGTCAAAATGAACTTAAACTTGAATTAGCTATGATGAAAACATTTTTACTTATGGATAAAAATAAAACTTTTGATCGTACTGATAGTAAATATATCAACTAATTAAATAATAATTCATTCTTTCTTTTCTTTTTATAGCACTTCATTCAACGATTACTAATAGTCCAATGCGTACAATTGTGTCAAATAATTATGATGAAGAGCATGAACTTGAAAAAGACATTGAAAATTTAGAAAGACGTCTTCTATCAGCTAAATCACAATTAATGTTTACTACTTATGAAAAAAACAAACAACTCATATCATTGAATGAATAAATAAATATATAAATAAATAAATTTTTTTTTTTGTTGTTCTTCTTTTTAGTATCGTTGTTTAATAAATGACAAGGAAATAAAAATATATTTAACAAACTTTGATACTATGAAGAAAAACCGGCACTACAAAATTAATCGACATTTAAGATATGTTTTGAAAGGAAATGATGATTTTATCAATTACAGTAATTCGATTAATAAAAGATTTTCATGAAAAAAAATGTTTTATACCGATTATTTAATTGGAAATAAATCCGATTTTGTACGTAAATAAATTGTCACAAAAGAAAATAAGTTCAGAAATTTTATCTATTTTTTTTCAACATGATTGTAAATTTGTTGAAACATGGGTTACAATTAATGATTTACTTACTGAAACATTAAAACAACTATGTATATCTGTATCGTTTTATACGTTGTGTAAAAAAATATATTAAAAGGTTTGCTAACTTATTAAAGAAGAATACGATTGAATAGAAGAATTTCTCTTTCATTTAACTTAAATATTTGATAAATTTTTTGCCATGTCTACAAATAGATCAGTATCATGTTATAGATTATAATGACTATGAATATAAAAATTTCTTGACTGATCTTTTTTTCCAGTTAAACTATAAATAAAATAATAAATGACTTCTAATATTCACAGTATATTACTGATAAAAATAATAGACATTTGATAATAATAACAGCGAAATGAAATAAATAGTTTTATTGTTGGAATTTATAAAATTCATAAAATATTAATTAAACCAAAGCTTTCAGCATATCAAGTGCCATCGTCAGTAGTAAAACTGTAAAAAAGATGTTAAAATGCGAATTATGATATACTGCAATTAAATATCACTGAAATTACAAATAACAAATAAATAACTGAAGAACACCAATATATGTTATTTGTATAACTATAAATGATGATGATAATACTGATAAAAAGAATAGACATTTGATAATAATAACAAAAAACTGAAATAAATTTAATAGTTTCATTAGATTTTTATATAAGTAAACCAAAGCTTCAGTGATATTTAATTGTAGTTCAAGATAATTCGCATTTTAACATCTTTTTTACAGTTTCACTACTGACGATGGCGCTTGAAATGCTGAAAGCTTTGGTTTAATTAATATTTTATGAATTTTATAAATTCCAACAATAAAACTATTTATTTCATTTCATTGTTATCACAATATATTGTTACTTAAAAGTGTTTCTAAATTGTATTATGAAAGATAATAGTTCGAACATATCATTTGAAGTGTGTACTAAAAAACAAAGTTCTCTTTAACTGATTATATCGATAGTTTGTATAAATATTTGTGAAGCTCTCTTCGTTGATCATTTTGTTGAAAGAAAGTTTAAACTCATGTAATACTTACGTTCTGAGTTATCGATCAAATTTTAATTCTTTTTTTTTAGAAATGTTCAAAAAAAAGGAGCTCTTTCAAATCTGAAAGACAATAGCATTTTCTTCAATTAAATATGCATGAAAACATTGAGATCTGAATTAAAAGTGAATAAAAGCGTCGATTTTTACTATATATACACTGATTAAACCATTAAATTATATTCTTTATTATTGCTGTTGGTAAATAAATTGTGTGTATTAGAAGCACATGTGATATTATAAAAACGATAGGATGAAGGACGTGGAAAAAATGAAGAAAAAAGTACGAGAGAACAAGAAAAATAAGCAATAAATGTGACACGTGTTCGATTAAGTCGATTGTGTATAGATTATATGAGTGTATATAGCGCATCATCAATCGATAAAATCATATCTTGTTTTTATAACAACATTTTAAAAACAATTTTTTCAATAGCATCTTAAATTCATTTCGAATTTGACATAGATTTAAAGAATTACTTATTGTATTTTATATGAACTAGTCTTTTTGTATAAATATTCAAAAAATCTATATACTGTATAGTCATCCATAATTTTGAATGCATTTTTAGATAATGAAAATCAATTAATATTTTTTGCAAGAATATAAATATTGAAATAGTATATATAAATTTTTATAATATGGAGATATTAAGATATTTCGATTTGCTTGATCATAGAGCATCCAAGTAACAATATCGTCTTCCCATGTGCTTCAGCTGCTTACATAAAATATAAATAAACTGGAAAGGATATTATAATGAACAAACAATGTTATTTGATGTTTAGTCTCTATTTTAAGTTAATGTTCATCAGATAGAATATATATTTCTGATGAAAAAATGTTTTCAGTTGTATAATCGTTTGATTGTAAGAAAAACAAGTTGAATAATAGTTTTCCTCATATTGTTGCCAAACAAGAACTTTTTATAAAACTTTATTACTCCAAATATTTCCATGATTTCTTTGAGTCAAATATATTTTAAACAAGGAATCTGCCAACAATTATATGGTAGTTGAGTTCTTTTAATTTATTCTTGGCACACCATAGAAACATTCATACTTTCATTTTTATTGCACTTTGATAAACAAAACATGTTGTTTTCAGTTTATCAAGAAAAAGATAAATTGTTACATTCATTGTAATTATTTTGTGGAAATCACATGAAAAAATACGAGCGTAAGTGATAAGTTCAAGTCTTGCAGCTTTCTCCCTTCATCTCCCCCAACAGAAAAAAGCTTGAAAAATTTCATAAAAGTCGAAAATTTCAATGTTCAATCAAATTCATTAAAAATATCGTTTTTTACGAGAGGGAAAGGTTTGAGTTTTTGACTTTCGTCGAGGTTTCTGAGGTTAAGATTCTTTTATGCAAAAATCGCAAAACTTTAAAATTTAGTAAATAATTCCTAACTACTAGCTTTATTATATGAATAAAAAAGAAAAACAAAAGAAAAAAATATAATATTAAAATTAAAATAAAACGCTAGAATAAAAATAATAAAAAATGTTTTATTGTTTGTACTTTTAGGTGCTGTTGCGAAACTAGTTTCCACCCATACCCGAGTTCCTAAAAAGAAAATAATATATTTAATTAGCATAATTTATCAATACATCATATGCAGTCTACTTACGAATTTTTAACACTTTGTTCAAATATTTTTCTCTCTCCAAAGAACTAATATGAGTTCATTCATAAAAGATATTCTCTTTCAGCATAGCTTTCTTTGAGTATTGTGAAATGTGATTAAGCAACTAAAAATGGTAAGATAGTTGGCAATTTTTGCAAAGTTTCTATAAAGTATTAGGTAGAAAAAAACATTTCGGACGATTGCAAAGGTCAGAGTTTTCTTATCGCTCAAAACAACTCTGATAGACACAGATTTAGAGATATGTGGGTGTAATGTAGCAACACGTTTCATGAGACGTAGTCTAAAATTCTTTTAGTAGGATGACGTATGAGTTGTAGTAACTTGTATCATCAGATGCTCGGAACAATTGTGCAAATTGTTTGGACACAATTCTATTCATGAAAAGTATTGATCGACATATTTTTTTAGTTCTTATCTGAAGACTTGAGTTATATCGCAGATAATATCATTGTACATGATGTCTATAATCTCTGTTCAAATCTGTTAGAATATAATATCGGTTCCATCAGTAAAATCTGATCAGTTACAAAACGAAACGCTATGTATTGAGCAAGGGATCATTTACTTATCATTTATTGTTTTGCAAAGCTCTATCAAAGATAATCAATGAAAGATATTAGAGTCAATGTCGATATTATTAGAAGCATACAGATCACAATTATTATTCATTGATCTATGTATGTAAGATTTTCTTTTGCTAACCATTAAAATCTTGAAAAAATCACTTTTGAATATAGTACTCATACAAAAACCATTCGAAGTGATAATATTGATCGATATTTGTTATAATAGCCAGATTATCATTTGATTTAATCAACTATTTGTACTTGATAGGTTCAATAATCTACATGCTAAATCTAGTTATTATATCTTCAAGAAAATTCAGACAGCAGATTCTTATGTGTAATGCACATATTAACTATAACGAGAACCGTCTTTCATAAGATCTCCTTGATATACATGCACTTTTGTAAGTAGAACTCTAATTATCCAGCACTTTCTTTAATTATTTTTTTCACTTACAACATATAAACTTTCTACATACGAACTCGAACCGGAGTTTTATGAATCTGCATATTTCGTTCGTTGAAGACAGCTATTCTTACATAAATTTTATTTGATATCAATTTTGAAAATGACAAATACACAAAATGATATACTGTCGGTTTGTGATATTCTTGGTCATAGACTAGAATTTTAAGACTGATTAGGATTTGTTTTCTGGTATACTTCTATCAGAAATATTAGAGAAGGTAAACAGTTGCTGCTATAATGCTTGAAATTCCGAGTAGACTAAACTTTTGCTTGCTCTTTTATTAATGTGATCAATTATCTCGATTTTGAGATTCATTAGCATTCGACATAATTTCGCTTCATTTTTGATTCAGTACCGCAAATATCGTTGATCTCGCTGTCAAGTAGTTTAGTGAATGAACACTATCGTAGTCACTTAAGTGATAAATATATATCTAATTTCTTATTTGCTATCTTAAGGCACATAAGAGGTATAATCGCGTTTCTAATTGAGTATTTCGTAGTTCATCGTTGTTTATGAGAATATTACCATCTCGATGCGTTATGCTTGATACTGAACTCTACATTCTGATCATCATTGTCTAGTTTGATACTATCTGTCATGTACAAATAAGCTAATAAATATCTATTGTCGATATATTTTTGCTTTGATTGAATAATTTTGTTTCTTATGGGGTTTTTATTGTCTATACAAATTTGGTTTTTATATCTTTCAGATATTTATGATCATCATAAAAGATGCATTCAACATCGACAGGTGAGATAAAAATTGAATAATCAACCAGAAAATACTTTCATTGATTAAATATACCATCTACTACGTTCGCGTGAGAGTTCTTTATTCGTTTTTTACATTATATATTGGAGAACTAGTGTTAAGAAACAAGAGTTGTGGCAGTTTGAGGTACTTCAATTTAGAGTCAAGGTATCAACAAAATTTGTAATTTAAGTCAAATCAATCCTCAAAGTTCTTTCTTCAGGTGACGTTTAAAAACAGAAAGAACATAATATTTGGAAATATTAAGTATAACATATTTTACATATCTTCAAAAACCCATTTTACTGTAGAAGAAATCTAAAATTACCAAAAGCCTTCTTTCAAAACAAGACATCATTATGAAAAAACACTGAAATCAGTTCCACTCGTTCGACAAAAAAATGTTTCTCTCATATAGGGTTAAGTTTAATGAAAATATTTTACAAGTTAACATCTCGCTGGGCTCTCACCATTCTATTAGATCATATATGTTGATACTTATTGAAACTATATTTTTTTTCTCAGTATAGAGGAGAAAAATCTATAAAGCATCTGATTTATCCACTATATTTCCAATGTTATTTTCAGATGCCACCAAGTAAAACAGTGTTATCTCTATCAAATTTTCAAATCAGTCGAATTTGTAACATCGTGCGCCATGTTTAGTACTGTCAGTACAGAACGAAAGTAACAAAACTTCAATAACAACAGTTTCATGTATTTTAAATAATAAGCATGTGTATACATCTACGCACTTCACCTAACTAAGCATACTCTTTTCAAATGGTACCATTTACGTTTCAAAATCACTCTGGTCATCATTAGCAACAAAGTATTATAGACTATATAATGAAATCTATTCTTATTTCACCATGATCATGCTTTAATGACTGGTACTTAAAAGATATGAAGCGTCTAAGTGCTCACCAGTGCAATACGATCAATCGACTTGCATGGTATCTTCCTCGTACTTTTGTCAATCCAGCACAAAATGTCTTCAATATGGCCGCGTCTTATAATAATCAATTCTTATCAAGTGTTCATGAATATTCTGTTTTTCTTCTTCAATGCTGTCTTCATTGTTACATCCAAAGTACATCATTATTTTTCCAGGATGTCTTAGTTGAACTTTTACTATGAACTCCTAAGAATTATCAATGCAAACATATCAGACGAATGTCTCATACGAAGTCACTATTCTAATACTTTCTTCAATTTCGAACACGCTGTTGAATTCAAATAGACGAATACCAGAATCGCGGCTGACTAACAGAACGAACAAACATCTTGTTCAATATTGTCTCGAATCTGAAACAAAAACTACTCTTGATTCAACGATACATAACCATATGAACTCAGAATACTTTATATTAACTGATTTTTAAAATAATTTGTTTCATCCAAAGCAGACAAGGTTTTGATCCAATTATATACCGACGTATGGATAGAGAATGGTTTCGACCAACGGACTTTTAAAATACTCCACTGAATCTGAAACAAATACTGCTTTACTCCAAATACAAATGGACGCATAAATATAGAATAGCTTATAACAAAAGATTTTTAAAATATTTTACTAAATCTAGAATAGAGACAATGTTGATTCAAAAAAACATGCACGCAACGTAAGAGAATAGTTTAAACCAACAGATTTTTAAAATACTTTACTGAATCTGGAATAGAGACGATGTTGATTCAAAAAAATATGATCGCAACAATAGAGAATAGTTTATAGTAAGAAATTTTTAAAATATTTTACTGAATCTATAACAGAGATTATGTTGATCGAATGATACATCGTCGCAACGGGAGAGAATAGTTTATATTAACAGTTTTTCAAAATATTTTGTTCTATGTAGAATAGAGATAATGTTGATTCAATAAAATATGCACGCGGCGAATGAGAATAGTTTATAACAAGAGATTTTTAAAATATTTTGCTGAAACTAGAATAGAGATTATGTTGATTCAATGATGCATCGTTGCAAGGAAGACGAATAGTTTATATCAAGTAATTTTTAAAATATTTT